GGGCGCCAGGGCGGGGTCGGCCAGCGGCGTCGCGCGGCCGCGGGCGCAGAGTAGCCGGAGCCGCGCGAGCTCGACGCGCGGCTCCTTCAAGTATTTCCGAGCGATCCGTTATTCTGGCCTTGCCAACTCAGCCGACGACGACGGCCCGATTACGCGGCCTGCCACACCTTGAGCGAATGGTCGCCGGACCCAGAGATGATGCAGCCGTCCGGCAGGGCCGCGACGCAATAGACCTACGCGCGCGCGCGAGACAGATGAGCGGGGCGCTCGGGGACGGCGAACGACGATCCGAGGCTCTCCGCTCGCTCGGAGACGGCGCGGCCGGACGCCGGAGACGCGCGTAGGACGAGTGTCCGATGAGCGTGCGGAGGCGGCGGCCGTCGGTCGGGTCCCAGACGATGAGCGAATGGTCGCGGGACCCGGAGACGACGCGGCCGTCTGGCAGGACCGCGACACACATAACCTGCGTGCGCGAGGCGGATGAGCGGGGCGCTCGGGGACGGCGAACGATGATCCGAGGCTTCGCCTCGCTCGGAGACGGCGCGGCCGGACGCGCGGCCGGACGCCGGGGACGCGCGTCGTTCGAGTGGCCGGTGAACGTGCGGAGGCGGCGGCCGTCGGTCGGGTCCCAGACGATGAGCGAATTGTCGTCGGACCCGGAGACGATGCAGCCGTCCGGCAGGGCCGCGACGCACCACACCTGCGCGCGCGAGCAAAGCAGATGAGCGAGGCGCTCGGGGACGACGAACGACGATCCGAGGCTCCGCCTGGCTCGGAGACGGCGCGGCCGGACGCCGGAGACGCGCCCAGCTCGAGTGTCCGACGAGCGTGCGGAGGCGGCGGCCGTCGGTCGGGTCCCAGACGATGAGCGACTTGTCGTCGGACCCAGAGACGACGCGGCCGTCCGGCAGGACCGCGACGCACCTCACCTGCGTGCGCGCGCGAGGGAGATGAGCGAGGCGCTCGGGGACGGCAACGACGATCCGAGGCTCCACTCGCTTGGAGACAGCGCGGTCGGACGCCGATGACGCGCGCAGGACGAGTGTCCAATGAGCGTACGGAGGCGGCGGCCGTCGGTCGGGTCCCAGACGATGAGCGACTCGTCGCTGCACCCGGAGACGACGCGGCCGTCCGGCAGGACCGCGACGCAAAACACCTGCGCGCGCGCGCGAGGGAGATGAGCGAGGCGCTCGGGGACGGCGAACGATGAACCGAGGCTCCGCGTGGCTCGGAGGCGGCGCGGCCGGACGCCGGAGACGCGCGGCGGACGAGTGTCCAGTGAACGTGCGGAGGCGGCGGCCGTTGGTCGGGTCCCAGACGATGAGCGACTTGTCGTGGGACCCGGAGACGACGCGGCCGTCCGGCAGGACCGCGACGCCCCATACCTGCGCGCACGCGCGAGGCAGATGAGCGGGATGCCCGGNGACGGCGAACGACGATCCGAGGCTCCGCCTCACTCGGGGACGGCGCGGCCGGACGCCGGAGACGCGCGTAAGCCGAGTGTCCGATGAGCGGCG